CGAAAAGTATAATATTTTAAACGAAATACAAGTCTCGAAACATCGTAGAAATATTTTCAAAAATATTTTGAAAAAGCAAGTTTTAAGGTCTAAAATAGTTTTGGTCTAATATGTTTTTGATCAAAATAGAGTGTAAAGTTAGAATTTAGAAACTCTTCTTGCTAAAAAATCAAACATTTGCACAATATAATTTTCATCATCGAGCAATCAATCAATAATGCCCAAATCTTATGGGCCATAAAAAATGAAGTGTCTACAAATTAACTTAATTTTCTCCATACCTTAGGGAGCTGAGTGTAATTTCCCCGTTATTAAAAGGGAACAGTACATCAATGATCCATCATAGCAACTAGTCAAAAATACATTGCAAAATCATGGATGAGGAAAAAGAGCCCTATCACTGCAATATAACTACACCTTAATAAGGTGAACATAAAAAATAATAATAACAATAACAAATAAAAAAAATACTTCAACCAAAACGTAATCAAAGAGCATGTTCTCAAGGCCATCATCCCTGTCATCAATTGTCAAATGGGAACAAGGCAGAGTTAGAAGCTGGGATACGAGAAAAGGCGAGGAATTTGAGACACCTTTCACAACCAGCTTTAATACCCCTGGTACACCTTTCAACTGCTCAAAAACAGATGATGAATTTGTGAGAATATATACATATAAAAAGGATGTCATAAGCCCACTGTGAGGCAATCTTAATAGTAGCTAGGGGAGCACAACTTTGGTCAACCAATTTCTGAAATAAAGTTCTTCTCACAAGAATGGAATTGCATTAAGGCAAACCATACATACTCCACCAGCAGATTGAAGAGGATTAAATGCACAATCACAATAAAGAGAAAGATGTCACTCAAAAGGAGGGGAAAGAGAGGAGGGAAGAGGAATAGGAATGAGACAACTCATTGGGTGATGCTATCTCCACTTCTTGATGCAGCAGATCAAGTTGTAAGGATGGTTTAAGAGGAATGAGACAGACTCAATGGCTTGCTACACCATTGATTTTGGCTATATACCTCTAAATTCTAATTCCTGTTTGGCTAAGGCTATGTTTGGCTACAGGGATAGACAAGGCCATGTAGCAAACAAGAACACATTTTAATCCTAAAATCTTAGGTTACATTGTCACATGCTTGCTCACATGACATTTTCCATTCAAAACCCTAACAGCCTACTACCGGATTGTCACAAAATAGAAGTGCTGAGTTTTAAGCATTAGGAAGTCAAACTCAAAAATAGCACACAGTTGAGAGAGATTTAAACTACGATGTGATTCACATCACAAGGTAAATGTGCCAGTACTCTCGTATCAATTACTCAAAATCCAACCAACAGTATCAGAAGAAACTCCATTAATAAACATTAAATCCAAGTATCCATGTAAACCACCAAATCATAATGCAAAACTGATAGATAAGTAAAAGGCCAACTACTCTTTTGTTTTGAAACTTGATCTAATAGCATCACAAAAAGAAAAGCTTCAATAAAGCAAAAAAAGGAAGAAAAAAAAAAAACACAAACTTCCAAAGTCTAGAAATGATGGAAACAAGAATCACTCTTGTCCTAAATTCACTTCCTAAGAGCCTGCCTGTTCCTCTTCTTGACACCAGATTTGGTGACCTTCAGGCTCCTGTGCACGGCGCTCAACCTTGCAAGGGCGGCATTCTTCAGATCTGGCCTGTAATAGTTATTTCCCACCTGCAATAAATGATTTAATAATAAAAAAGTGATAAGAATACACTTTCTCAACCTTATAACTAAATAAATAATAAAAAATGGAGAGAACTTTTTAACTTCAGCAACCAACAGAAAACACTCAAATGTAGTGGTTATCCACCACCACTTGAGTGCTCACTTCTAGGAAAATGTAACAGAAGAGCCAAACTTGCAAACCATATAAAGTGGCGTACAAGCATTAAACTTCTGACTTCTTACTTTGGGGAGAGATAAGTAAAGGCGGCTATCAGATGAGTCTAGCACCTGAAGCCGTTTTTCCCTCTCTCCCAAAGTTCACTAAAGAGTCTAGCACTTGCATGCCAAAAGACATCCAAAGTGAAAACAACAAAATGAAAGCAGTACACATTACTGTTTTTCCTATAGATCAACACAAAAATGAAAAAGGCAAGGCAATACAACCATTTACACAGCTCAGATTTTGAATCGTTGTCCCTCACTAAAAATAAAAAAGAAATAAGAACATCTCACCAGATTTTCTCTCCATTCCTGAAAACAAAAGTGATGGTACAAGGGACAACCCTGTGAACCACATAACAATGTGCTGGCTGGGTGCCAAAACAACCCACCACCAAGGAATTTTTACAAAGAGTAAAGACCTCCCTAGCTTTATGTTTCTCTCAGTACCCAAATAGCAAAAGTATGAACACATGCAATTATCCAAAAAAATACAAGTATGAGAACACATGCTGAACGGCCATTCACATTTCACACATTCAAATTGCATCACAAATCAAGCATGCTAAACAGCATGCCAATAAAACTGAAAACCTCAATTGATGTGCTTTTTCAATTGGTAAAAATTCCACCTGTTAAAGTCGTAAGCTAGTCAACATCTTCAAAATTACAATTGCAATAGCACAACAATCAAATAAAGCATAACTTTATCATGCTCGCATAGATATCACCAGCAATGGAATACAAACTACTGAAGCACTAATAGTAGAACAGAGATCACAAACAAGGCCTAAACACGATAATTTCATAAAGAACCGACAGGCTCTTCTCACAACTGCTCATTGCTGCAGAAAAAAGTTGTCAAACTTGGCCAGAAGATCCCTATAATATATTGAGTTGAGAGAGTAAGCTGCGGCTGTTCTTAGATAACCAGTTCCCATCCAAGATAAATTTCCAACAAATATCAATATGCATCGACTCGAAACATGAGAACACATGTGGTTACAACTCAACAAGTAGATTTCGTCAAATATACTCCCCCAACCAAAACCCATGCGTATTAAGTTCCACTATTGCCTATATCAATTGCAACCATTGCTCATATGAACACACAAGGTGCCAACAACCAATTCATACCTGGTTTGTCACTGCCTTTGCCATGCGACGGAACTCCTTCTTCATAACAGACTTGTGGAGTAAAGTGGATGGTTTGGCCTGCTTCTTGGTCTTCGTTGTTGCAAGCAACACAGATTGCTCTCTTTCTCTCTCTCTCGTTTTTGTTTTTAAACCCATTTTTACTTTTCTTCTTTTATTATTTCCTTTTTTTTTTTTTTTTTACCTCTTTTACACCAATTTTATTAGCCTCTTTTGCATTACCTTGCCATTTTCTTATCTTTTCTTCATTTATTTCGAGAGTGGTAATTATGTCCACTAAGTGCAAAAAGTGATAAATAGAAGTGTCAAACAAGAAGTTGCGCTTAACTTGAGAGAGATGTAATGCCTTGGTAATGAACCTCCAAAGAGATTAAACCATTAAGTACGCAAAGTTTCTTTCTTATGCCTTAAGCAACAACCGAGTGTTTGAGACAACTCTTAATCGAAGAAAGCAAAGAAAGGAGGGAGGTTGAAGAGGTGATTATGCAAAGATGATTATTATAAGTGTGAGTATATGTATGAAAATTATGAAAAGAGAGCTATCAACTCAAACAGATTGGTGTCTATGGCCTAAACAACCAAATCTACGAGGACTTACAACAATACAAGTATAGTATTCAAAACATAAACTAAATAAACACACTAAATAGTCCCTAAATAGCACAAAACAATGCTGAAAATCAGTTTGAAAAGCTAGAAAAAGTAAATAAAAAAGGAAGAGAACAAAGCTAGTAAGTAAGACTAAGGAAGAGTGGCTAACCCCTCAACTTTTTGGACCTGTAAATCACATATTTTAGCTATTGAAACCCTGAAAAATAGTATATAAATCAAAGAAACAAGTGTGAAGAACAAGGATACAAGCTATGGGATAAGGTTCAAGAAAGGGTGGTTAACCCCTCCACCTTTGGTAGTTTTTAAATCACAAGTATAAACAACAAGAAAATGAGAGAAAATAGTAGTGTAAATAAGGGAGAAGATGACAAAAGCAATACCTCTTGAAGAGAGGATATTCTTTAGTTCACAAACCACAAAGTGATCACCCTCGAGAGCATAAATTTTGGCTCAATAATCTCAGCAAGAAGCCTGAAAATTTTGGTTTAGGAAGTATATGTATAATGTATGTATATTGCAAGATAGAGAGGGAGAGTGTTTGGCAAGTTTTTGTCTCTTGGCAAAATTTTCAAACCTAAAACCATGAGGGATGGTCAAGTATTTATAGAAAAATAGGTTCCCCTATCGGAAATATATGTATTGAGTCAGCTAGTGCAAGGCATGCACATGGGGGGACAATTGGCAGCAAAGCTGGGCATGGCCGACCGGCCACAAAGAGGGACGACCGGCCAATAAAAATTGGCTTTTCTGCCACTTGTTGGCCAGCAAGCCTCTAAATGGTTGGGCTAGGAAAAAAAAAGATTTTGGTCCAAATGGGGTGCAAGGTTTTAGGTTCTGAAACTCAAAACCGAAACTTCTTGGTGTAGAAATTGAACGGTTTGTAAAGCGTATTAATTCATCATCGAGTGTTCAACATAAGGCACCCAAGTCTTAAGGAAGGTAAAAAATGGGGTGTCTATAGTTCCCCCTCTTTGACAAAGCTCTAAGTCATGAAATGATGTTTGTGAATGTCAAAGCCCGAAGATGTCCCATTTTGACAAGGCTGCAAGACTTGGGCAGTCAATTAAAGTGTAAAATGCAATTGGTTGAACTCAAAGTTGCCTACGTATCCCTTTGCAAGTAATCAAACCAGCGTAGTTCAAGGGCAAGATGCAAATGATACACAATGCAATGCATTTGAAAACTAGACTTACACGCTTCACGAAGCCAGTATTTTGAAAATCCATGATCATGCAAGACAATGCAATGAAAAATAATAAGATGAAAGCATATGAATGAAAAGCTTAAATTAAACAAACCTAACTGTGTTCCACACGAAAAGGAAGTACATTAAAACAAATCCAAACATGCTTCACATGAAAGGAGGGAAAACGGTACAATAAACATGCATATCTCACCGTATCTCACACAGAGAGAGGAATGGTTTTAATCAGGGAACAAGAGTGGTGTAACCAATAGGTGTATCTCAACGTATTTCATACGGAGAGTGGGACGGTTTTAACTAGGAGAAATATGCGAGCCAAACTACATTTCACGTAGAGAGGGTACAAGACACAAGTCAAATCACATTCACTTGATAAGGGTGAAGGGATACAAGCCAGACTACGCTTCGCGTAGAAAGGGGAAAAGCTCCATGCCAAACTATGCTTTGCGCATGAAGAGTGGAAGGTGCAAGCCAAATCACACTCACGTGATAAGGGGAAGGGTACTAGCCAAACAATGCTTCACATAGAAAGGGGGAAACTCCATGCCAAACTATGCCTCGCGCAAGAAAGGTGGAGGGTGCAAGCCAAATCACACTCACATGTTAAGGGGAAGGGTACAAGCCAAGCTACCCTTTGCACAGAAAGGGGAAGGGGTACTAGCCAAACTACGCTTTGAGTAGAAAGGGTAGATGGCGCAAGCCAAATCACAATCACGTGATATGTGGAGGGGGTACTAGCCAAACTACGTCTCGCACAAAAAGGGGAAAAACTCCATACCAAACATTGCTTTACACAGAAAGGGTGGAGGGTGTAAACCAAATCACACTCACGTGATATGGTGAATATAGTGAAATGAAAAGCATGATGCATATGGATGCAATATAATTGCTGTAATTGATATGATGCGATGCATATCCCATGCAATGTAACAGAATAGATGCACAAAAGTGGTGCTATCGAAAGCACCCCACAAGGGAGGTGACAGGGAACACCCTACGATGCCTAGGGATATGCCATCGCATATCCTAAGAGAAGAGAAAACCACTCGAGAATGTGTTCCGCATGTCCCGAGAAAAGAAAACTGCTCGAAAATGTGCCTTATACGTCCCGAGGAAAGAAAATCGCTCAAGAACGTACTTCACACGTCTCAAGATAAGCTTGGGAACCATAATCTTAGACCACGCTCCGCGTGAAAGGATGAACAATACAATGATGTGATGCAAATTGATGTAATAACTGCGATAATCAATACAACAATTAAGCATAATGCAAAGTAAGGCAGTGTTTTTAGAAAATACCTTACAGAGAACTTTATTCACCTCCAATTCACAGTTCAAAAATCCTCAAGTGTTTAGAAAAGGATACAACTTGTTTAGTTTTAAGTTTGGGGTACTTCCACATTTCAGAGAAATTATGGCACTCATAATGACGTAACCAGAACATAATCTCGGGACTTTTCGAAGGCAAAACAAACCAAAATTCTTCAATTTTCCCTTTTCAAGATGAAAATAGGACCAATTATGCATGGAACAAGAAAGATCTCTACAAAAACCAACTCTAGACCACTTGAGGGTCGGTCGACTGGCCAAAAGAATTGGACAGCTGGCCACAAGACCATATTCGGGGCAGTTTCGAGATTTCATGCACGTGAGTCTTTAAAACATGGTTTTGGCTCATTCTTTCACTCATACATCTACCGAAATCACACACACACTCTCTCTCTAGGCGCTCTCTCTCTCTCTCTCTAGATTTTCACCCTACGAGCGTTACCCAACGAACCACGCGACTTTTGTTTCGTAAAACCCTCTTACTCCTCTACACTTTGAACCGATTGGATTTTGTTTTGGCTGAGTTTTGGGCTTTTCATTGTTTTGGGCTCATTCTCACAGGTTTTCTTGGTTTCCATACTTTTCTCTAGATTTTGACCTTTCTTCCTTTTTCTCTCTCATAGGGTTTGACTTTTTGGGTTTTTCACCTATTTTTCTCATTTTACCTCATTTTCACTCACCAGCCACTATATTGCTCATGGAGGATGACATTTCATATGATGGTGCCCCTCCCGAGGTACCAATACCAGATGAGGCCGACGAAGTGGCAGAGGACATTGCTGTCGACCCTGTAGCGGAGGAGATCTACCCTTCAGAGCATGAGCCTGGGTTGCCACCATTGAGGGTGAGGCCTTTCGACCCAATCACTTACCATCCATGGACACATGTGATGGCCCCCGATGGCATGTTGCGGTTTGAGGACTTCGCCATTGGCGTGCCCAAGGATTTCCTTTTGAGGGAGTGTGCCTTTCACCTTTCCCATGACGCCGCTAAGGTAAGAACTTTCCTTTCCTGCACTTTGCTCATTTTGCCAGTTCATTGCAGTCTTTTATTCGATTATGCATCTGACACATTCCACTTCTCATCCACCAATTCCTTTCACTTCTCATCCACCGGGGAGATGATGATGACCCCGTACAACTTCTTTATGATTACAGGACTACGGGTAGGGGGTGATCCGATCCCCTTTGACATAGATATGGGCCAGTGAGAGGTGGCCTGGATTCATTTGCTTGGGGCATGCCCTCCTCTAGACAGACCGACTATGGTGAGATACAACTGGTTCTATGACCATTTTCACGGCAGCCATCTGGAGACTCAGGAGGAGATTAAGCAATACATCTGGAGCTTCTTGACATATCTTCTTGGTACCACATTGTTTGCAAACAGGTGGAATACCATAGGTCTGTATTTGTTGAGCGCTCTGGTGGTGTTGCCACAGGTCCGGTTCTATGATTGGGGCGGCACTGGCCTCACCACCCTATACGGGTACATGAGCTCCGGTTCTTGCAAGAAAGGAAACAAGGCGGGGCTACTGGAGGGCGTGAGATGTACACTGCACTTTCACTTTCAAATTTTGTTTATTCATTATGCTTTCTGCTTTGCAATTTATGTCTTTATCTCTATTTCTACCTTTATGCTTTTCGCTTTGCACTTTCTTTTTTTATCTCCATTTCTACCTTTATGCTTTCCGCTTTGCACTATCTGTCTTTATCTCCATTTCTACCTTTATGCTTTCCACTTTGCACTTTCTGTCTTTAACATTCCTTTCAACTCTGGGTCTACGTGTACTTCTCTACTTTTGCCCCGTTCCACAAGATGAGGTAGAGGCTGCTGTGCCATACTCCTGGCGATATGAATGTAGGTGTCATCCTTAGAGTCATGGTGATACCATCTTCGCTTACTATCGCCGATTCTTTGATATAGTGGCGGCACATGAGGTAATCTGAAACTCATACCCATTCATTCCATTGCTACTGCTTTGACAACTGACGGCAACTAACAACTGTGAATTCTCTATTTGTAGATTACGTGGCAACCATGGGCGATGATGCTAGTTGGGACACGGGATGAGTATGCAGGGTC